CCTACTTGGGATTTCAGTTTCCGTAGGGGATTAGGGGATGATGAAATTGGCTCCCTCTCTGACTTGCTTTGTTTCCTTAACCAGGTTTGTTTAGATCCCTCCAAGCCAGACAAAAGGGTGTGGGCTCCTAGACCCAAAGGGATCTTTACTTGTGCTTCTTACTTCAAGTCCATTTCTCAATCCTTTGTCCCAACTCCCATAGCCTTCAAAGGAAATTTGGTGTAGACCGGTTCCTCCAAAGATTATGGATTTTTGTTGGGAAGTGTATTATGGGAAAGTAAGCACTCTAGATAACCTACAAAAGTGAAGACACTTCCTTTGTATTTCTCCCAGCTGGTGTACCCTCTGTAGAGCTGGAGATCTGCTCGATCTGCCTTGATTTGGACTCTATGGGAAGAAAGGAATGGTAGAATATTTCAAGAGAAGGAAAGGAACATTCAAGAACTGAAGGACTGTGTGTTGATGACCAATTGGGGGTAGGGCAATATGACTGAAGACTTTGGAAAATTTTCATCAATTCTCATATGATGACCTTTGGAGAAACTGGGCAGCAGTAGCGAGGTTTTCTTCCATTAAGAATAAGACAGTTGTAAGGTGGTCTCCTCCATCTGAAGGCTAATTAAAGCTGAACTTTGATGAAAGTAGCTTGGACAATCTTGGGTTATCTGGAAGGGGGGGGGGGGCTCTGAGGAATGAGTTTGGAGAGGTGGTACTCCTCTACTCAGGTCCTTTAGGATTTGGAGATTCTATTAGGGCAGAGCTATTAGCTGCTGTACAAGAGGTGCAATTTGCAAACCAATTGGGGGTAGAGCATTTAATCATTGAAGGGGATTCCAAGGTGGTGGTGGCTGGCTGAAAAACCCTGAGGATACTATATTGGTGCTACAAGAATGAAATTTATTTGGCTGAAAAGGAATATGCTGGTTTCTAGACAGTGGGTGGGGAGATCAGCAAATGCTTTGGCTGATGTGTTAGCCAAAGAAGGGGTAAATAGGGAAGAATTGTTTTGGGCTCAGCTGTGATTTATGTAATCTATTACTAGTTTACTTGTGAGCTATTGGGAGAGGCTGCATCTCGTGTCTCTCCATGGGATGATGTATGAAATTATATTTCTAAATCAGTTTCTGAATTAATAAAATTTCTATTATTCATAAAAAAAAAACAGGTTCAAATTCAGCTAAGAGATTTCAGACCCATCAGTTTGGTGACTAGTATCTACAAGATAGTGGCCAAAGTAATCTCCTTGAGGTTAAAAATAGTTTTGCCCTCCTTAATAAGTCAATCACAAGGGGCTTTTATTCAAGGTAGACAAATCACTGATCAAGCCCTGATGGCTAATGAATGTGTAGAAGACTTCAAGAGAAGGGGGAAGGAAGGATTTGTCTGTAAATTGGATCTGGAGAAAGTGTACGATTAGTAGATTGGTCATTCTTGATGGAAGTTTTGGGAATTTTGGGTTTGGAGATAGGTGGTGTGGTTGGATTGAAGGTTATTTGACTATTGCTCATTATTCTGTGTTGGTTAATGGAGTGGTTGGAGATTTCTTTCCAGCTACTAGAGGACTGAGACAAGGGGATCCCCTCTCTCCCTTCCTCTATACCTTGTTAGCAGATGTTTTTAGTAGACTTATTTTGATAGCGGACAGGGTGAATCTGATTAGAGAATGGAGGGTTGGAAGAGAAGGTGTTATTGTTACACACCTATAGTTCACAGACGACACTATCCTTTTTTGTGAGACAGGGGACCCTCGGGTAGCAAGGAACTTGAAAGGGGTGATAAAGTTGTTTGAGGTTGTGTCAAAACCAAAGATCAACTTCCAAAAGTGTTGTGTAGTGGGGCTGAATTTAGAGCAGGAGGAATTGGGTGGGATAGCTGAGGAGTTAGGTTGTTTGACATCTAGTTGGCCTTTGAGATACTTGGGGTTACCATTAGGAGCCAATCCTAGGGAGGGAAGTTTTTGGAATCCCATGGTGGAAAGATGTGCTAAGAAACTGGCAGCCTAGAAAAGAACTTATGTACCCCTAGGGGGTCGAATTACTTTAATTCATTCCACCTTAGCAAATCTTCCAATTTACTTACTTTTAGTATTTAGGATGCCGCAAAGGGAGGTAATGAAAGTAGAGAAATTGATGAAGGACTTTTAGTGGGAGCCCGGAGAGGGAAGGAAGGATCATTTGGTAAGATGGGAATCAGTATGCAAGAAAAGGGAGCAAGGGGGTCTGGGATTGGGTAACCTAGGTAAGAAAAACTCAGCCCTTTTGGGTAATTGGCTTTGGAGAAGGAAAGACTTTGGCACAAAGTTGTAGAGAGTATTCATGGAGCAGAAGACAATGGTTGGGATGTTGGCATTTCTCGGAGGGCCACGTTGAACTCTCCTTGGAAGACAATCTATGGTGTTCTTCCACAATTCTTATACTTAATTGGGGATGATGTATGTACTAGGGATAGGGTTCTTTTTTGGGAGGACTTATGGATTGGAAACTCAACCCTCAAGGATCTTTTTCCACCTTTGTATTTCCTTCCGCTTTAAAAATGAACCTGTTCAAAGATTTGTCTCATTTTCCACCTCTGCTTGCTTTGTTCTATCTGTCTGGACCCTTCTAAACCTGATGCTCGTATTTGGTCCCCTAACCCTTCGGGCACTTTCTTTTGCACCTCCTTTTTCTCTTCCTTATTCTCTGTCCCTAGCTTTCAGCTTTTACCTTGTAAAGAGATCTGGTCTAGACCTGTTCCCCCTAAAGTGGGAGCCCTTTGTTTGGAGGCCTCTCTTGAAAAACTAAACACATTGAACAACCTACAAAGAAGAAGACATTGTCTGAGTATTTCCCCCAACTGGTGTGTCCTCTGCAAAGCAACTGGAGAAAGTTGTTACCATTTACTAATATATTGTCCCTTTGTTGTAGGTCTCTAGGAAAAGCTTCTTAATCTCTTTGGATGCAGGTGGACAATGCCAACGCAGGTTAGCAATCTATTTGAGCCTACAACCTTCAGGTGGCCTAAGAAAAGAGGTAAAGTCTTGTGGATGTGTGCTAGGTCTGCATTGGTTTGGACTGTTTGGGAAGAAAGAAATGTCAGGATCTTTGATGAGAAGGAGAGGAACAAGACAATTGTATGGGATTGCTTAATTAATAGAGCCATTAATTGGGTAAAGACCCTGGAACTATTTTCTCCATTTTCCTTTGATGACTTATGGAGAAATTGGGAAGTGGTTGCCTAAAGCTCTAGTACAAGACCTAAACCGTTAGCAGAATGGAAACCTCCTCAAGAGGGTATCATTAAGCTCAACTTTGATGGCAGAAGTTTAGGCAATCTGGGTCCTACGGGCGTTGGGGGAGTGTTTAGAATTACCGAAGGGCTAATCATTGCTTTATACTCTGGCCCCATGACCCTCACAGGCAGGGGTAAAATCCTCTACTGGATTGCCTTCAAGTTTAGCTGACTGGGTGGGGGTGAAGTCATCTACCGGATTGGTTTCAAGCTCACCGGACTGGTTGGATGCAGCCCGACGTGCCCGACTGCTGGTGTCCAAATCTGATGTTGGCTCTGCTTTGAGCCCAGCAAGTCGTCTTGAAGCCCTGCGAGGCACATCTTTTCCAGCATTATAATTTCCTGAGCCAACATGAGTCTTCCTGCCTCTATGTTTTTGCATTCCTATCTCTAAGCTGGTGATCCAGTGGTTGAAAGAACCAGAAACAGCAGCCTGGTCCTATAAAGGAGCTTTATGAAGATTCAAATGGCTAACTACAAACATGTCATTCCAATTCCAATGGGAAAGAAGATCAGCAAATGGGTTTGCAGATTCATTAGCTAAACAAGGGGTGCATAGGAATCAGATGTTTTGGGCTAAACTGTAATTTTTAACCCGAGGTTGCATCTCGTGCTTCATCTTGGGAATTTTCTGTGTATCTTTTATGCTTTTAATCTATTAATAAATTCACTCACTATTCATAAAAAAAAAACAGGTTCGGATTCACTACAGACACCTGATAAGAATTTTTCTACATCTAAGTCATCTCTCTGCTTTGACATAACCTGTACATTGATTTGTATTGGTTGATAGATGTTTAGGTCTTTACAAATACTATTCACCTCTGAAAAGTATTCCTCAATATTATTGTCACCTTGCTATAAGCTGAAGATTTTCTGGAACAACTGAAAAATTCTAATGCTGTTATCAATCCCTGAATTTTCCCATATACTAGAAAGAAGACGAAGCTTGCCCTGATTCTAGGCTCCATACTATTCCAAAGCATTGTCCGAATTTGTGCATCTTCCTGAACCCAATCGGCATAGATGGATGATACTTAATTTTTCCTTTTCCCATAAGGAAAACCTCCACAAATTTGTCCAATTGTGCATAGTTTGCGTTGGTTGTCATCTGGACTCGAAAGACACCTGATGTCACAGGTTTCACTTCTATTTTTACAACTAACGGATCACAAATCAAGGGCTAATAGCAAGACTGGTTGCAGGTTCACTAATTCAGATCACTAAAAATTCAGTAGGAGAGCCTCCAATCAAAGATAAGACACCCAACCAACAGTAGCTTTACATAACAATATCAAAGCATACACAAACAGCCGTAGGTAGATCAAAAACATGCTCATAAATGCAATCAACCAGCAATAAGCAACCTGACAGACCCAAATCACCTACTCTTCTGAATGTATTTCACATTGACTTCACTCCTTTCAGACATTATGCACTTCACTATCACAAACAAGTCAATAGAAGCTGATTAAATCACTAGTCCTCTTCTTAGATAATCAGAAAGAAACTATAAACAGAAAAGGAGAGGAAAAAAAAGTGAGAATTAGCAGTACCTGATCCTTGGAGGAGAAGAGAAACCCAGCAGCCATGTTCGGTTGAGATTAGAAGAGAATAATCTCACTTACAGGTTGCTGGATATGTTTATAGTTATTTCATAAATCTGACTTTACATAAAAAAAATTACCCTGCCACCCAATAAGGCTAAAAACAGCATAAGAAAATAGAGAATAATGACACTACTTAACAGACGCTTTGTAAAAGAATTATTGCCAACTGGTAACCTTACAACCTTTCTTCATCTGGGTTTGCTACAGACAGTGCAAGACAAAGTCTTTACTCTGGGTTGTACTGGAAAACATTTATTCAACAGCAGTGTTATGTACAAAAAAGAATAAGTTTCTATGGTTTTATACAGTATACAAAACAATCATCTAGAGAATTGCTGAAAACTAGGAAATATATTGTGGCTCATCAACAAGCAAGGGATCTGAGGGTGACCACTTTGTCCAGAAATTCTGGAGATTATGTCCATACCCGGCCTATCCCTCCCAAAATTCTTGATAGCTGGGATCAACATTGGGTGATGGCCTTCATCAACAGGTGAAGTTCACCTTTCTGTTCCTAGTTTTCAACAGGGAGCAACTCCATTTTATATGCTGAGCAGGTGCCCTGAAACATGCAAGGAAAGACCACAAAAAAATTATTTTATTTGGCATACAATCTGAACAGTCCTTGGAATAGTAGGATATTATCATGAGAACCTTTCTTAGTGAAGCTGGAAGAGAAATGGATAGTGATGTTACAATACTGCCTTTAGACTTTAAATTTCTTTATGTTTCAACTTATGATTTTGTTGTCAATAAAAAAAAAATTTCCACAATACTGGCTCTTGACTATACACTTAATTCCTACAATGTTTTCATCTAATAAATTCATTGTTGTATGTATATAATATTGTCGAGTACTTTCCTCTTTATTTAACAAAATCCACTTTTCTGTATACTATGTGCTTTCTATCACCTTCTTTTTCATTTTTGTAGCCAGCCGAAAGGCTTCCTCAGTATCTAATGGAACAACTGGGAAGGATACAGTTGCAAGTCTATTGGCTTCTTTAATGGAAGTAGTACGAACAACTGTAGCATGCGAATGTGTTTATGTTCGAGCCATGGTAATAAAGGCTTTGATTTGGATGCAAAGTCCATATGAATCATTTGAAGAACTAGAATCCATTATTGCATCTGAACTCTCTGATCCAGCTTGGCCGTCAACACTGTTGAATGACATCTTACTCACTTTGCATGCTCGATTTAAGGTACTACAAACTTTTTAAACCAAGTTTTGATTCTCTATTTTATAACTATTTATGGCTTTCTATTGGAGAGGATGTCCAGGGTGTCCATCCTTATGGAAAAGATGAACATGCCCTTATGACCAATGGCTCAGAAGAAAAGAAACACTACTCAAGCATCAGGTAGCACATCTGTACATTGGATTCTAGGAGGTGTGGCACTTATGCATGCAGCAAAGTTAGGTACTTTTAAATGTTTTCCGTCTATGGAGATCTGCTGTCAAATTCAAGGGCAGATTTCAAGAAAGAAACCATTGGCTCAGCCTATTAAATTTTACACAGCCTCATGCAGCCTTCTGCTTGGTTGGGGGTGGGGGGATTAAGAACAGTGACCCTCTATTTCGCCAATAGGAACTCCATAAAGACCTTGGGCAAATCCCTGGTGGGCCACTGATCTCCATATTTCTATCCTTGTTAAAACAAGAAAAAGGAATCTTGTTAGTTGTTACCATCCGGAAAAATGGAAAAAAAAAAAAAAGCCTTTCTTTACTCCTTTACTCCTCCCTAGGTTAGTACCATTTTCAGTCTACTCATCCCAAGGCCCTAGATAGCCGATACCAACATTGGGTAATGGCCTTTTTCTTACTTATGGAATGGAAATACGTCAACATATTAATTCACTTACTACTTACTACTTACTTAGCAAAGATGCATTTCTGCCCTGCACCAAGAGTAGTAAATGATACCTAGGTGTGCATATCTTAAGAATGGTGCAATCCCAAATAATAGATCTCACAAACCATAAGGGTCAGGGTGGGTTGGATCGAGGGTTACCCATTGGGTCGCTGCTACTTTAGGGCTTGATTTATTCTTCTGAAACTCTTTCTTTCTCTCTCTCTCAATCAGATTGGCTGCCACAGCACCACTCTCTTTCGCTTAGAGCTATTAGAATCCCCAAAGCAACAACAGAGAAGGGAAAACAGAGAAAGAAATGGAAATAAAGCCTGAATGAAGTTGTGCTTATCTTCCTCTTGATCTCATCGATTGGTGTCTCTGCATCTTCAATGTCTCACGCGGAAGTAGCTAGAATCAGAGGGAGAGAGATCCTATAGCTACACCTCATTTTTTGAGGAGTTTTACGTGTTTTAAGCCCTGTAGATATCAGAGCTCAATTGGCAGAGACGAAGATGGAACCTACAGCTACAAAATCAAAGGGAATGTTAGAGGAAAAGAAGAGGGAGTCTATGCAAGAGACAACAGAGAGATGTCGTGTAGGGATTGGGGCCATGGGCATTCCTCGTGACAGCGTCTCCGCTCTCCCTTTTTGTTAGGATGCAACCAGAGATATTTTTGCAATATGTGTGGAAATTTGCTGCAATCTCCATTGATTGCAATATGTGGAAATTTTCTGAATATTTTGCCTTTCTTTAGTTGAGAAACATAATTTTTGACAATTTTATCATTTTATGTATTTTTTGCTATTTCTCATTTTTTGCCTTTTTTTAAATTTCTATTTTTTACTTTTTCGCTAAAATATATATTTTTCTGAATTTTTATCATTTATTTATTTTTTTTGTAATTTCTGATTTTTAGCTGAAATATATATTTTTTATTTTTATCATATTTTTTTGGAAAAAATCAAAATGGGTGGGTGAGGGTCAGGGTGGGTTGTGACCCATTAATTAGCATTTTTAGTGGCTCGATAGTCAATCCACACCCAACCCATCTATTTTCTAGACATAAACATGAAGTTTATAATTTTCTTATGAAAATTATGAATAGTTATTAAGGAAAGATGGCTATGGATCCTAGGGAACTACCTAGGATATGTATTTTTCACTTAAAAAAATCCATCGCCTAGGCAACAAGGCGCCCCCCTGTTGCCTAGCCTCGCCTTGGGGCCTTGAAAACTATGTGATGGGGATAGCTTTGGTTTTAGCAATGTTTTAAAAGGCGTGGGAGGCGTACACTTGGAGGCGTGCTTCTAGGTGAGGTGTCCCCAAAATGCCCTGAGGCATAGGCCAGAGGTGTTGACACCTCTAAGGCATATGCCTTAGGTGCAAGAGGCGTACACCTCATATGCTGTTTTCATGAGGCGTATGCCTCATGCACACCTCATATAAAAAGACAGAAAAAAAAAAAAAAGAAAGAAAAAGGGAAAAAAAAAGGAAAGGAAAGGAAAAGAAAGGGAAGGGAAAGAAAAAGAAAGAAAGAGAAGAAAATAAAAAGAAAAGGAAAGCGAAGGGAAGGGAAGAATAGATAAGGGGAAAGAAAGTGGGCTGAGGGCTCTGCCACCGGACCCCTTTGGCTAGGGGGCTTCTCCCCCAGACCCCACAACCCCCCTTTCAACTAGTGCTTTGCATCTTCGTTCTTTTTAATATAAAAGATTTTTAATAAAAATAAAGAAAAAATTGAGATCCTCTTTCCTCTTCTTCTTTCTTCCCTTCCTTCTCCTTCCTCCTCATCCCCCTCCTCTTAAGGAGGCTTACACCTATTACGTTCTGAAGTACGCCTCACACCTCTAGGTAGTGGAACACCTTGTGTTATGTCTCTGTGTTTTAAAACATTGGCTTTTAGAAGTATATTATTGGGTAGTAATCAGTATGGTAGTGCACTATTTTGAGTCTTGACAAGTCATCATACGCTCTCATCCCTACTACAGATGGTGTGAATCACTGGATCTAATCTGGACAACATATTGGTTTGCTCAATGGGCACAAATTCAACCTGACCCATTATCGATGAGGACATGATAAATTTGGAACCCTGTTCTGTAATTAGTAATGTTTAGAATCCTTGTCTGTTCTGTGGGAATGTAATTTTTGGCAAATCCTTTTCTGAGAATGTGATGGGCTGTGGGGCCACTAGTTGGCCAATCATCTTCAGAACCTGTTCTTTAATTGGTAATGTTTTGAAGCCTTGTCTGTTCTGTGGGAATTTAACTTTTTGCATATCCTTTTCTGAGAATGTGATAGGTCATGCATACTTGATCTGTTTTCACAGAAGATTTGGAGGTGATTTCTCAGGATTCATCATTAGACAATGTTTCTTGCAAGTTGAAATATAGATCCTATCATGCTATTGACTTTAGTGTTGGTTAGATTTTCCATAGAAGACGTGGATAATAAGGTGTTGGAGTTAGTGGCGGAATGACTCTGGAGGTGATCGTGCATCTATTAATCTTATGTTTAAGGTAGACAAGAAGGTTGATCTGAAGAGAGTAGTTGATAAAGAAATTGGAGTTGAAAATAAGTTAGGATTGTTTTTCTTAGGAAGTAAGGAACATGCTAGAGAAGTATTAATGGTAGTGGGATTAGAAGAGGAGAGAATGAAAAGCCTTAAACTACATTGGTGAGTATCCCTCCTTTAGGCATTAACTAGGTAGGCGAGAGATATCATAAGGAGGTGGAAAAGGAAAGAGGTTGGGATTTTTTGATTGGGTTGGTAGGCAGGTTGAAGTAGTATTGGTTTGGATTTTGCTAGCTATATTGTGCTAGGTTTTTGGGTTGGTGTAGTCTTGTGATGTTATTAGGTAGTTGGTAGGGGGAGAGGAGGTAGGTTTTAATTATGCATTGGTTAGTTTTTTTGGCTTTGTTGTAAGGTGTAAGCATAGTTTTCAAGGCGTTTAGGCGATTCTAGGCGACACTGGGGTGCCTAGTCGGGCGCCTAGGCGATAAATTTATTTATTTTTTGATGAATTAGGCATTTTCAAGGCATCTATACTCCTTTTCTGGAGTATAGGTTGATCTTGGGGCATTGAATGATCCACTCTTCCTGTCCATGATTTGATTTGCATCAAGAAACTTTCTACTTGGGGTTTCATCTCCCACCTTAAAGAATTAGAGCAGGATGGGCAAAATAGAGGGGTGCATCTGGACTTATATGTGATAGGTGAATACCACTTAGATTAAAAGGAAATTTCCTTAAAACGGTTGTAAGGCCAGGTGTGTTGTATGGAGCAGAGTGTTGGGTGTTCAAGAAACATGTCCAAAACATGAATGTGGCAGAAATGCAAATGCTAAGATGAATGAGTGGAAAAACTAGGAAGGATAGGATTATGAATGAAGTTATCCATAGGAACCTAGGAGTAGCTCCAATAGGTTATAAAATGAGAGAGTTATTTGTCACACATTGAAGGGGCTAGAAGAGCTTGTGGTAGACCAAAAAGGACATGAGTAGTAGTAGTAAGAAATGATTTAAGCACTAATACTTTAACAGTGGATATTTGTTTAAATAGAACGGACTAGCGAAACAGGATTCATGTAGCCAACCCCATATAGTTGGGATAATGCATGGATGATGATGGTGATGATTTAAATATGTGGGTCAGGCTTGAAGGCCCGGGCCAGTGGCCGGGCTTAAATGAGCACCTCTAGCTAAGAGTTTGTTACACTATTATAGGTACCTTATTTTGAGTCCATGGGAATTTTTCTGGCCTTTGTTGCTGATTTCTTATTTCCTAGATGCAGCAAAAATAGTTCATACAAGAAAGGTCAACTTATTATAGATTTCAGTCTTCTATATATATCTACTATAGTCCTTTCTTGTGGTTCCTTTTGTACTTGTTCATTCTTTCTTTCTTATGTTTGTTTCTGTTTTTTCTTTGTCAGGCTACTCCAGATATGGCTGTTACTCTTCTTGAAATTGCAAGAATTTTTGCTACAAAAGTTCCAGGAAAGATTGATGCTGATGTTTTGCAACTGCTGTGGAAAGTAGGTTTACATTTTTCATATCTCAGATAATGTCGTGCATTGAGTATTTCATTTGATGTTTGTGTGTGTGTGTGTGTGTGTGTGTGTGTATCACCATTTAGCACTGCTAAAGCTTCAACAGAAACAGAAGAATCTGCCTTAGAAGCTACTGAATTAACAGCTAACAAAAACCAAACTTTCCCTAACAACAGCACAGGTTGCAGACAGAGCAGATCTACCTACAAATGCTCCATCTACATTGATCTTTGACTATCCAAAAGGGGGAGGAGTCCACTGAGAATTAAAATCTGCACCAGCTTCAGAACGGAGCAGTGTCAGTGATGATGAAGCTACTTGACCCCAATATTCCTTGGCTATCTTCAAAGCCCTGTCAATGTCCAAATAGGGATCTAGAATTATTGAACGAAGACAAAAGAAAAGAGGTCACATTGGGGGTTCTCTTGGTCTCTCATCCTAATTGTACCCAGTGTTTTAAAAGGTGTGTCTAGGCAATTAAACGAGGTGTATTATGAGTTTATGACGCATGTGCTTCACCTGAACCCAAGCAGTGCCCCTTTCAAAAGGCACGTGCTTGGTGTGCCTTGTGCCTCAGCTTAGGTGCCTCAACTCAAGTGCACACCTTTTTAAATTACCTTTTATTGCTGTTTGTATGATAATAAAGGTCTATTGCACACCTAAAGCCTTGGTTCTTGCAAATAAGGTCTCAGACATAAAAATTTCCATTAAGGAAGCAACAACAATACAACTAATATCTGAGTCCTAATCCTAAAATAGAATGAACTGCAACAGAAATCACAAAAACAGTCTTTTATATATATGTTAAATTATATGTATGGACCAAAGTTTCAGTTTTGGGAGCTACCCCATACCCCAACACGGACTTGTTTAGGCTTTTCCCAAGGACCTTTACGGAGGCGGAGGGCCAATTTCCTAGGATTAGGAATTGAATATGTTTAACATCACATTAGCTACTTGAAGTAACGCAACAAGGATATAAATATTGGAAGTTTCACATGCTTGAATTGTTGAATGCTTGAAGCACTTTGGTAAATCCACATGTTTGCTTTGACTGCTACAATTTCACTTTGAATATGTTATGTTTATGTTTCTTAATTCGAGTCAATAGTCTTGTTAAAACATTTAATTTCTTTTAAAATCCAAGTTATACATTTTTTTATGTATTATTCTGTTTTAACTTGGGTGGTATAAAGCCCCTGCGTTTTGCACTTTTAGAACACTGATTGTACCCTGATTCCTGTTCCTATTATGATTAAATTTACGATGTATTTATTTTGTTTTATTCCTACTTATTAAAACCCCTTGTTCCTAGAACATCAGTCCACAGATTTGGTTTTGCATTCCATCCCCCTCTAGTTTCATCACCAAATGCTATGCTTTTAGCCAACAACATACACCATTGAGATGTCCTGAATATGTTTACCAAATGCAATTCTTTCATGACTAGTGCAATTAGGTCTTAAAATATAAATCTGATTAAAATTTCAATATCATAAAAAAATGGAATAGCCAAACTTTAAACTTTGTTCTCAACAATTAAGATGTTGGAATCTGGAATTGCATGTAAAATGAACTAGTTACTATAAAGTAAGTTGTTCCTTGTGAATCTAAGATCTTCATATTAGCTTTGTGAGCATTAAGTTTGCTGACCACGAACACAGGAAGTGGAATGATTAACTATTTAATATTTTGAATTAACAACAGACAGCTAAAAGTCAGATTAGCTTGGGGGATGAATTTTAAGGCAAGGTGTGAAGTGTTTTCACATGATTCAGTGATGCCACTTGGGTCTGATATTGGCTTTGCCAGGTTTGTAGTTTTACTAGGCCTAGAGTCTGGAACATTTTGTTGGAGTCCTGTCTAGGCAAGTCAGTCTCCTAAATGTCTTTTGCATGATGATTCAATTTTGTTTAACCTTTAAGGTGTCTCATATCCTTATGAAAACTTTATTTTGCTTCAAATTTGTTGTTATTTATTTGGAAGATAACTTGGGAAGTACCATATACTGATATCATTATCTATTTTATTTGTCTATTTATTTTTGAAACTGTAAGGTAAAGTATTTCATTAAAATCCAAACAAGATATAAAAATCACCCCTGTATAATGAGATTCTGTACAAGAGATAACCCAAGTGATCCATATACTAATATCATTATCAGAATGCAAGGAAGCGATGTTAAGACCTGCATTTCCTTTTGATCATGGTGCAACATATTTGACCTGTTAATGATGGTGTAGAATGTATTGCGTTTTGTTTTTTTGTAAATCTCATCTATATTCCTTTTCTAGACATGCCTTGTTGGAGCTGGACCAGGTGGAAAACACACAGCTTTAGAAGCAGTGACAATAGTTCTTGATCTACCACCACCACAGCCTGGGTCAATGTCAGGACTTACTTCCATAGATATGGTATCTGCATCTGATCCGAAATCGGCTCTGGCGTTACAGAGATTAGTGCAAGCAGCTGTAAGTATGATATTTTTATTTGTTATTTAATTAATAGAATCTCTGGGGAGGTAGTATCACATTTCTCCTCCACGGCTGATTGTACTTCCCCCTTTTTTCTCTTTAATAAAATTGCCTAATCATTAATAAAAAAAAGAAGAGTCACTGGCATTTTATATGGTTCCTTGGAGATATGAAGACAACATACATTTTTGTTATCGAAGAAGCTAATCAATCTTTATCACTGATTGATTACATTTTCAGGTATGGTTCCTTGGAGAAAATGCTAATTATGCTGCATCTGAATATGCTTGGGAATCTGCTACTCCTCCTGGTACTGCATTAATGATGCTAGATGCAGACAAAATGGTGGCTGCTGCCAGTTCTCGGAATCCTACCTTAGCAGGGGCATTAACTCGGCTCCAGAGGTGTGCTTTCAGTGGGAGCTGGGAGGTATATTTTTCCATCCATATGCTCTTTAATGAAAGTGTGAATGTTATATGCACATAATTATCCTATGAACTTGTCTAATTTATTTTGCATCTCTTTGACAAAAGAAATAAGACAAAAAAATCTCTCTAATTTCTTAATCATTCTTTCCACCATTCCTTTGAGAAGAAAAATTGAAATGAAGGTGTCTTCTATTTAACATACAACCCATGCATGCAAACAATCCCCAAATTCCTCTCTTTAAGGGCACACACACCCACTCCAACACAAGAGCTTTACCGATTGAAAAGATAGCCCAAGGCTTTATATATATCATTTGTCTCTGTAGTATAACATGTACTAATATAATTCCTGAATTCACTACTGATTAAAGTCTTACCACCACCACCACCATCACCAACTTTGTCATTGTTATTATCTTTTAAAGTTCATCAATTATTTATTGTCTTATTGGATTGGAAGTTGCTATGCAACAATGTTACTGTTTCTTCCATTCTATGGCTGGCTTCTCCAGGTTCGCATCATTGCTGCTCAAGCTCTAACTACAATGGCAATCAGGTCTGGCGAGCCTTTTAGGCTACAGATTTATGAATTCTTACATGCTCTATCATTAGGTGGAGTGCAATCTCAATTCTCAGATATGCATCTTAGTAATGGAGAAGATCAAGGGGCCAGCGGAACTGGTCTCGGTTCCCTGATAAGTCCTATGTTGAAGGTTCTTGATGAAATGTACAAAGCACAAGATGACCTGATCAAGTAAGAGCTGAGATGTACAACTTATTTTTATCTCAGCATTTATTTTAGTTTTGATGATTTCAACCTAACAAATGCTTTGTTGGAATGTGGATTCATTTTGGTTTGGCTCTGACATGTTTTTATATGTTGATATTCAGAGAAATAAGAAATCATGACAATGCAAAGAAGGAATGGACAGATGAGGAACTTAAGAAATTATATGAGACTCATGAGAAGCTACTTGATCAAGTTTCATTGTTTTGTTATGTTCCGAGAGCAAAATACTTACCTCTGGGGCCAATAAGGTGCTTTTGATCTTTGAAGCGCATCATGTCCTTGCATTTCCAATAGCACCGGCACCTATTGCACTACTTTATTGACCTTCTTAAGTAGATATTACCTTTAAATAGGCAATAGAACAATTCTGCTGTACTATTGGTTAGGCATCTGTTTTCTTATTGTACTTCTAATGATTTAACCCTGTAAACCAAAAATAACAAAGAAGAAAAAATAGAACAGGAGAGAAAGGAAGATTGGGGGGAGAAAGTTTACACTCCCACTTGACTTCCAACTTCTTAATTCTTATATATTAGTTACTTTTTAAGAATAGGGTCAGGGACCATGCATTTAAACTGAAGGGAAAAGACCACACTCCCTTTCTAGTAGAAGACAAAACCACCCTCGTAACAATTAGACTATGTATTTCAACACTCTCCCTCAAGCTGATGAGCATATTTCATATAATCACATCTTGCAACAAATAAAGCCAATTAAGGACAATTCAAGGTTTTTGTAACTAAATCAGCTAATTTATTCTCAGATTTGACATACAAAGTAAAAATATCTTTTCCAAGCATCTTCTTGGGAATAAAATGATAGTCAACTTCAATGTGCTTGGTCCTTTCATGAAACACTGGTTAGATAAAATGTGAATAGCAACTTGTCATCACAATATGAACTCATAGGTAGAGTCACTGGTATGTCCAACTATTGTTAGAAAGGTTTTGTGCTATGTAAGCTCACATGTGATATGTGCAAAAAACATGAATTATTTTAATTTTGTAGACTTTTCCATGGATAAGTCCAGGAGTCTGTTTTCTCATCTTGCTGAGTTTGACTCTTGAACAACCCCACAACCAGTATCACGGAAGATCGAACTACTATCTTTTGTTCCATACTATTCCACAACTATGTTCTGAATCATACATCTTGTATTCACTCTGAATAGGTAGATGTTTTAGATTAGGTTTATTTACAGTTAGTTACTTGGATTTTCATTTCACCATCAATAAATCTTCAAACAATTTAACCCATTAAGGATAGTCACCTCCATTCAATTTGATAAAAGTCATTTGAACAGGAAAGAAAAAACAGATGAAAGCATCATGGGGGCCTTTTCACCTATTGGAAAATCTGTGTAGGAAAGTTTTACCTATAGGAAGGGTTCTATCTTGAAAATTTATGGATGGCAATGTTCACCTCTATAGGCAAATTTATGCATGAGAAAATTTACCTATATTTTTTTATTAGTAAAATTTTACCTATAGGTTTCCTTTGATATGGTTGCTGGACAGTCACAGATAGGTTTTCAGAGGTTGTAGATTTTATCATGAAACTGCTTCACAAATAGGTTTTCAGACATCAACAACACTTTCAACTAGAGGGCCACTCCATGAGCACATAACACCACAATCACAGAAAAAAGGAGAAAAATTAAGGAACCCTAGGGTTCAATAAGCAGAAGGTCTGATTTATATCGACACCTATACATTCCAATTTGCTTGGATCTTAACTGAAGTGAGTGAAGAGGTGGAAGAAAGCAGGTCAATTAAATCTGATGGGAAAATTTACCTATATTTATTTATTAGTAAAAGTTTACCTATAGGTTTCCTTTGATATGGTTGCTGGACAGTTGCAAATAGGTTTTCAGAGGATGTAGATTCTATCATGAAACTGCTTCACAAATAGGTTTTCAGACATCAACGACACTTTCAACTAGAGGGAAACTCCATGAGCACATTACACCACAATCACAGAAAAAGGAGAAAAATTAAGGAACCCTATGGTTCAATAAGCAGTAGATCTGATTTGTATTGACCCCTATGCAGTCCAATTTGCTTGGATCTTGACTGAAGTGAGTGAAGAGGTGGAAGAAAGCAGGTCAATTAAATCTGATGCTGTGATACCATGTACTTTAATGATCTAATTCTAACCTGTAAGCCAGAAATAATAAAGGAAGAAAGAGAGACCACAAGAGAATAAAAGTGAGGAAACAAAGATAGTGCAAGAGAATCAAGTCGAAGTTGAACTCCTTTGATGCTAATCACTTCTTAAATAGGAATATAGGACGACAAACTTAAAATAAAGAAGACCACACTGCCCCTCAGTAAACTTCTTAGTGAAACACGTTTATTTTAGAGGAAGGTAAAGTATTAAAAATAAGGCAATGTGCTTCAACAGTTGTCACTGTTACATATCTCTTCAAAATTTTGCTTATTTTCTAAATTTAAATTGTTTTCGAGTTTTTTATTACTGCTTTTTCATCAAAGAGTTTCTTTTGTGCTGTGATGATTTCTTCACTGTTATTTATTTTTCCACTCATCCCTGTTTCTGACCCCAGTATGTTATTTTCTGAATTCTTATAACAGTGCAAAACTTATAGACATCTATCGTACCCGACACAATATAAGTGCATCAACCGGTTTGAATGATCCAGCTGTTGCTACAGGGATTTCTGACCTTGTTTATGAATCTAAGAGAACACCTGCTGAGCCTGATACACTTGATGATGACCTTGTAAATGCATGGGCTGCAAATCTAGGTGATGATAGCTTGTGGAGCAATAATGCAACAGCAATGAATAGGGTGAGAAATTTGACTTGTATGGTATATAATCTTGGTTCTTTTTGTGTGTATGTGTTTGTGAGTGTATTTAGTTTAATATTATACTAGAGAATAACCCTCCATACTAAGCACAGGGCCAATATTTTCTTTTCTTTTTTACTTATGTATTCTAATAAATTTTGTTTAGCACCCTTTTTCTATGTTGTAAATTTAGGTTATTATTTTATTTGATTTTTTATGTATAGATTTGTTATTTTAATTTTAGAGATTAAATCAAGTTTTATTCTAAATAATATCCCCACTTTATGGGTCCTACATCACTTGAAATGAGTTTTTGTTTTTGTTTTTTTCTTTTTAGTGGAGGTAAGTACCATTTGAGTGGGTAGACAAATGGCTGAGGAAGGAATAACCACTTTTGAGATGCTCTTTCTTGAGAAAATAAGGTGCCACTTGTCTGAGGGAGAAGGTCTCTAAAATTCTCCTAACCGTAATGTACATAGCATGTATTTTGTCCTGCTGGATCTGCCACTTAACAGCTTCAAGATTCCAACCATCTGTCTTAATAAAAAATGCATTACTATTTTATTGGCTGTTTTAAAATTGTTGGGTACCAAAATTTATCTACTTCCACCTATAGTAAATCTTGTGGGTGTAGCCCACCTAATATTGTTTCCAACTGATCATCCCTCCTAATGTGCTTCCCATGTATCATAGTTTGGAGGATGGGTTCCTATCTTTCACCTCAAGGAAAGATAAAAATATTCGTGTTGCTAGTTCTGATTCTATTGTTATGAATTATTCTATTTGATATTTGACATCTACTTTATGTTGGATAAGGAATGACACATATTCCCCTGGCATTGTTTTCCTCATATTTCCTTTAGGCTATGCTTGGTTTAAAGGAAAAAGTGGGGAAAGGAAGGGAAAGGTAGGGAAACCTTTACAAACCCTGTATGGGTTTTCCTACCTTTCCTTTCCTTTTCCTACTTTTTCTTTCAAACCAAACACAACCTTAGAGACTAATCATCAGTCCGGCTCCACTTGTTGTCAGGTTAATGAGTTTCTTGCTGGTGCGGGAACGGATGCTCCAGATGTTGAAGAGGAGAACATTACATATAGACCTTCTGTTGGTTATGACGATATGTGGGCAAAGACACTTCTAGAAGCTTCAGAACCAGAGGTATGGACATTGCCCAACCTCTCTTGATTAGGAGAGGAAGACAGCAGGAACACAGAATGCTGAACAGTATCTCTGGAAGGTAGCTCAGGAAAATAACCAACATTTAATTTTACAGGAAGATGATGCAAGGTCATCTGGGACATCTTCTCCTGAGTCAACAGGATCTGTTGAGACTTCCATATCATCCCATTTTGGTGGTATGAGCTACCCATCCTTGTTCAGTTCACGGCCATCGGGCTATGGATCTTCAAAAACATCGGTATTAAACCACAAACACCATACATATATCTGAATACCTCCTCTTCATGATCATCATTTTGCACCAATGTTTCTATATCTATATTCAAAAATATCTGTATTTTTCACATATTCTGGTTTTTGGACTATGAAATTGCTGAAGATCTTTATTGTTTCAACACAATTTACATGGTATTATTTATTTAATTTATAAATAGTGGCACATGGAACAAGGCTTTTACAGAGTATGCAGCCATCTTTTATTTATCAATCAATAAAGTTTTTTCCCAATTGGGTTTGGGTGCATAAATCCCTTTCCCATTCCACCATATTTAAGGTTATCTCTTCCTCAACAGACAATAAGAGGAAGGAGGAATTTTTGAAAATTATTACAGACCTGGACTCAAAGAAGGAAGGTGAATACCTGGAGGATGATCTTAGAAGGAAGAGGGTGATGGAAAAGAAAGAGTATGACTCACTAGTGTTCCAAGAAGAGGTGAGGTGGCGGCAAAAGTCAAGAGGCACTTGGTTAAAACTTCGGGATGATAACTGCTTTCTTTCATAAAATAGCGAATGCCAGAAGAAGGGTTAACTCAATTAAGAAGCTGCAGGTTGATGGGAGGCTGGTAGAAGATGAGAGAGATTGAGTGAGCTATTGTGAGCTACTACAGGCAATTGTATAAGGATCCTTGTCATTTCAGACCTAAGTTAGATGGTATCAACTTCGCAGTGCTATTGCTAACAGAACAACAGGTGACTACTGATATAGAAAAGCCATTTTCAAAGCAGGAGGTCAAGAAGGCTATTGATAAAATGGAAGGGGAGAAGGCACCTGGTCTAGATGGCTTCACAATATTATTCTATAAGAAACTTTGGGGTTTAATCAAATCAAACTTGCTCAAGTCCTGGAAGAATTTCATAATTCAGCAGCGTTGGAGTACTGGGAGTGATGGACTCTCTCATCTCCGTCTACCAAGGAGCTTTTGTCCACAATAAACATATACGTGTGCAGTGTGAAAAGGCATTTGTAAAGCTTTTGATAAGCTTTCTAAAGGCTTAAAACCCAAAGCGGGGGATGGAAGGACGTTGTACTTTTGCATGGACCCTTGGTGTGGGGATAGTGCTCTAAAAGATGTTTTCCTGGCTCTACTTACAATGGCTGTAGACAGGTCAGCCGTAGTAGAAGACTCTTTTGTGGTGGAAAATAATGTGATTACATGGACACCATCCTTTAGGAGAGGCTTCAACCTAGGTTCAAAGTATCAGAAACGCAAAGTGTATCGGAAAGGCAATTTTAAGAGATGTATCGAGACACACATAGATACAAACAAAAACCAAGATACACATGGATATGCTATGATACTCAAATAAATACTAAAAAATATATTAAAAACAATAAGCACAAGGTATAAGGTGGGTTAGGTCGAGTCGACACAATGACTTTGTGGGCTAGCTCGCGGGCCTAGGTGGTCTATGCCTACCTAACTTGGAACCACTAAAAGGTCAGGCCCGACATAGCCCATGGCACGAGCCTAGGTGGGCCTGGGTCGGGCAGAGCCATGTTGTGGACCAAGGCTGGGTTGTGTTACAGGCTAGGCCCAGGCCGAGTTGGGCCAGTTTTTTTTTTTTTTTACATTTTTGTTTTTTTTCTTTTTTTGCTAAGTCTAAACGTGACACAAACTTTGGGAAAAATAAAAATTTAACAAAAAATACTTTAACAAAATACAAAAGAGACAACAAGTTGAAAAGAAAATATTAGAAATTTTATTTCATTTGAATTTAATGAATACAAAGTAAAAAACAAATTAAACAATACAATGGAATTTTGGAATTGGAATAAAATATAAAAACAATATAATCAAATTAAAAATAAAAACTTACAATGGTATTGAAAAAGTAACAAAGAATTTAAATAAAATTGAAAAACAAAATTTGCAATAATTTTAATAATGTTATACAATTATTGAGTATACAAAAACATATTGACTTCATTATTTTCTTCAAGTTCCTTGACCTTGATCTACATCATCTGCTTCTGGTGAAACATCAGGTGAAGTGTCATGCCCTCCTTTATCTTGTAGTCTATCCTCAACATCTAGCAAATATTTCAAACATATGTACATCTCTAGGCTTTCATCTTTCATGCAGCTTCTCTTGTTGTCTAGCACCCTAGTACTTTCACTAAAACAAGAATCCGATGGAACTATAGACACTTGAGGGGTTAGTAGATCACGTGCCATGGTGGCAAGAATTGAATAATTTTTTCCATGTCACTCCACTAGGCTAAAATATCAAAATTATTTAATTCCTAGTTGAGGGAATCAATTAAATTAGAAAAACTTAGCTTGTAAAAAATAATAAGTTCAATAAATGAATTTGATGATGAAGTGGTAGCAGATTTCTGTCTTTTTTTATTTTTTCTCTTCCCCTACTCGAACTAGATGTTTCAGATGTGGAAGTTGTTGTACCTGTATAAGTTCTCCGATGCCCTAATAATTGAGATTCTTATAAATTGTACATTTCAAATAATAGATTATTAATTTCCTTTTTTATTTCCAATTCCAGTTCTCATATTTTCACAATAAGATTCAAGTAATTCTAACATAGAATAGGTCGAATTCCACCTATGTTGAACATCTAATACAAATTTTTTACAGTTAAACCATATTTCTTAATCCAAAACTTCTAATATATATAACACAATTTCTAATTTTAGAAATATGATGAGAAATAATATTCAAAGTATCTTGATCACAAATTTAAGATGCAACATGCACATCTAATATGAAATAACTTACTATTTAAACATGGTTTTAATTGAGATTTTAAAATATTTATTTTTGAATCATTATTACCAACATTATCAAAACTAATAAAAAAACTTTATTTTCAATTCCATAAATATGTAAAGTATTTAAAATACTTGCAATAACTGCTAGGCCAGTATATGGCCATTCAAGTCTAGTTAAACTTACAATTCTTTTTTGTAAAAGCCAATGTTCAGAAATAAAATGTCTGGTAGCACAAATATAACTTATATTATATTTAGAAGTCCAAACGTTAGATGTAAGTGCCGGCCCACAGATGGCACAACCCACCTATACAGCTCCGATATATATGACCATAAATAAGTTATTCAGACTTAAAAACCTTACTTTAACGGTTTACATGAAGTGTGAGAGATCAAGACATAATCGGTAACTGTTGAAAAATGACGGAAAAACTAAAATGTGTACATATATACCTTACCTTGATTTTCAGAAAATCAAAATAATGTCTTAATATTTGTTAATATATAAATTTCAATAATCAATTTTAGCATTTATTAACAAACATCTAGGGGTCTGACCCAACTTGAACCTAGGTTTTGTATTCAGGGTTGGTTCAACCCATATATTTAAATATTTGTATTTTATATATAAGTATTATAATATGAAACTTATAATATATATATATTTATGTTATGCCATTTATATAAAATATTATATATGGCATATTTTATGTATAAAGACTTAGGCCTGACCCGACCCGTAATCACCCCAACAAGCATCCACTAAAAAGAAAAAATGTTTATTTAAGGATCAAAATGCATAAAATTTGAACAACAAAATAGATTTGGGCGTAGTGGTGGACTCATGTTCATTACAAACTAGTGACCAAGCTTTAAACCTTCTTATAGCCTACTTTAGTTTTTCACCCAAAATTATGTGCTTTAGGATAGACGTTAGAATGGCATGCCAAATTTGAAATTCAAATTCAAACTTGCCTTAAGGATTAGAGAGAGAGAGAGAAAGTAATTATGAGAAGGATTAGCAATAAAAGAAACATTAATGAGAGAGGGAATAATTAAAGTAATTGATAAGAGAGTGGAAGAGAAATTAATTAGAAGGATTAGCAATAAAAGAAAGATTAATGAGAGGAGTAATTAAAGTAATTAATGAGAGGGAGAGTAATTAACTAAAGTAATTAATTTGTAACACTAGAGTATCAGCTTGTATCGGGTTCGTATTGGCTGATACATTGTGAAATTTTGAACCTTGGCTTCAACAATTGGGAGCTGGATTTGGTGGCCCATCTTCTTGAAGTCCTTCAAAGTCAGCAGATGAACTTGCAAGTCCAAGATACAAGATGCTAGAAATGGACAAGCTCTGCAGAGTTCTCTGTCAAGTCCTTCTATTCAGGTCTTGTAGGAGAGGCAAGAGATACTTTCCCTAGCAAAATCCATATGGAGAATAGCAGCACCCTCTAAAGTAAAATTCTTCCTTTTGGGTGGCTGTGTTGGACAAATGCTTGACGAAGGCCATGCTAGTGAAGAAGGGTTTTAATGTCCCTGACCTGCTTTGTGTCTTCTGAAACTAAGAGGTGGAGACATTGAGCCACTTGTTCCTGTACTGCAGCTTCAGTGTTTCAATATGGAACTATTTTCTTGATTCTATAAACTTGAACTGGTGTGCCCCTGGGTCGGTGAAGGACCTGTTAAAAGGCTGGCAGGTCCGGGGTATGTCTAGAAAAGGGAAGGTTTTCTGGTCCTATATCCCTGCTGCAATTATGTGGACCATCTGGCTGGGAAGAAACTACAGAATTTTTTAGCAGAAGCGGGGTTCAGAATTTTTTATCAGTGGTGATAAATGCAGCCGTAGGGTTCTTAAAGAACTGGTTGTCTGTCCATAATGAAGCCCTTTCCTCTTCTTTTTTGAGGGTGGATATTTTTGGGGGTCCCTAGTGGGCTGTCATGTACAGTTTCTCATTGTACAAAGGACCTTGTTTAGTCATTAATACAATATACTAATACTTTATTCTTGTCTGCTTTCCCTTTCACCTTTTAAACCTTCAATTTGCAACAAACCAGTCTCCTCAGTTGCTTAGTCTTGTCTTCATTGTAGCTTACCAAATTGCTTTTGTTGGTTTTGCCTAAACTTTATTAGGATTACCCCAATCTTCTCTCAAATGCATTCACTTTTAGTTCGTTCACTCTGGTGTGATATGTATTTATTATTAAACAACACTCCAAAAGTACACATT